AGGGGAGCTCGGTGCATCATGATGCATCCCCCGGCAGTCTAGGCCTATAGCAGCACAACCAGGGGTGGACTTACTCTAACTATAAGCTCTATCATAAAGGAAAGTCTTAAGCCTACTCTTAAATAGTCTTCCATCACAAACTTTAACCCACTTCAGCCTACTTTCAGCTGGAAACAAAACTATACTTTTAAACGGGTCTAAAGGAATTCAGCTATTTCCAAATGACTCTTTAGGCTGGTCCCGATCTGATCGGCTAGCTGGAGAAAACCCAGATCCAGACTCCAGATCCAGATCCCACATTAGCATTAGCATCTGTAGCCCACAGGTCTGTGTCCTAACCATTAAGTTGTTATCAGAGTAAATCCCTGTTCAACATGAGTCTGACAACTAAGTAAGAAAATAAATAACTTTCAACTTTAACACATGCTCTGATAGGCCGGGATCGGAAATAAAAAAAGCTGGATGGGGACGTTCCCGGTTCTCTTATATTATATTATCTACTAATATTCTTCTGCTTTTAAAATATCACAATTTTAATATTCATTCCTTTATGTTTAGTAGATTAATTTTCTAATAATGTTTTTAAATTTATTTTCATATTTACAAAAACAAGCACATTTTTTTAAAACTTCTGAGGACCAAAAACAGGAGGACTCAGACTGGCTTGATTTGTTTCACCGGAGCATTCAGCCAGTTCCTCTGTAAACAGGCAGGTTTTCTGTGATAGATCCAAGCAGCAGTAACACCAACTAAGACACAGAGGAGAGAAACTACTGGAGAGCCAACGGTCAGACCCAGAGATACTCCTCCCTCCTCGTCTCCTCCCTCCCGGGTCCCTGCAGGAGAGAAGCAGGTGTGAGTGTCAGCAGCAGAAGAACAACAGAATCCATTTCCTCTCCAAACTGCTGTCCCACATGATCTCCTGCACTCTGATCACTTTCTACAGAGTCTCATCAGCAGCCTCTTTACAACCCAAACATCTGATCTGAGATGTTTCTCACACACACACACACACACACACACACACACACACACACA